ACTGGGTTTTCCTTGCAAGGTTTTTAACGAGGCAACCAAAAGGCGTATTGTTAGATATGTGTACTCTTTTTCCTTCTCTCGAATTTTAATCCCACTGGGTTTTATTTTAATTAAGGTTTTAACGAGGCACATTATCCGTTGAATAGACATTCAAGGGGGAGTGTTATAAATACAATTATATTTATGGTGAATGTCTATATTTAGAGAGATTCTAGGGTTTATTACTTGGTGGCTAAGTCACCCTCTCCCTATAAATAGAGAGTTCTATTTCATTGTAATTCATCCTAAATATCAATAAGAATTATCTCTCCCTACTTTTCTCTGCAATACTACTCTTCTTCTTTTATTGTTTTATAACAGTTGAGGAATTATTTATTTTTTATAGTTGTCTTATTCGACCGAAATTTTAATTAATAGAATCAAGTAAGTTTCATATGCCAGATAATTAAGCATCAACATGACCCTCACTCAAAGTTTATTTTAATTAGTTGAGCCATTTTCTTTATAAACTTAGTTGAATCAAGTAACTACAGTTAGCGAGGTATAATCTTGTTGAATTAAGTAAGCATGGCAGTTTAGCAGTTTTTTTCCTTCCTTTTAGTTTGATCCAAGCAAAAGAATTCTATTCAGTTTATCAGTTTTACCAGGTATGAAAGCACTCAATCTAAAGCAAATAATACATCTAAAGAATTGCTATTCATGCATTCGTGTACAAACCAATACGAACGAAGTAACATAAATATTCCGATAATTATTTATTTCCATCAGCCAGCGAGAAGTTTGGAATAAAGTTAGTGTTTCTTCCATTAATCATCGGCATCAAGAAGGATTTGTGTGAATAATGAAATAGTTAACATTACCTATTTTAAACTTTACCACGGTAATATAATATCTTTTCAAGTAAATGATATACAAAAGCAACAAGAGTGATAATATTATATTTGATTTTACTTAACAATTATAAAGTTTTAAAATTACTGTATGTATATACGTATAAACTATTGTCCACGTGAAGTCCCGTGTGATACACGGTTAGGAGCTAGCTCGGCATGCAACATCATGTTATGTTATACGTAAGAATGGATGAGGCAGAGGCCGTACAGGGAACATATTGGCCCTACAATTTCCCATTTTTCTTGTTAGAGGGTGTTTGGCTAAGGTTATAAGCTGGTCAAACTGGCTTATAAGTACTTTTTGGTTTATCTACGCGTTTGGTAAAATTAAAAGTGCTTATAAGTTAAGTGCTTATAAGCCAAAAATAAGCCAAAAGCCATAAGTTCGTCTCCCCTAACTTATCAAATTTCAGCTTATAAGCACTTTAAGTTTGGCCAAAATATTTACTATTCTATCCCTAAAATACTTCTTTTTAAAACAAAACTCTTCGTATACCCAGTTCTTCAGCTGCATATTATTAATTTCATCACTTTTATCCAAACACGTAACTGCTTATTTTTTAAATCAGTTTGAGCACTTAAAAGTGCTTATCAGCACTTAATGCTTATCAGTTATTCTAAATCAGCTAAGCCAAACGGGCTCTTAAACTAGTACTTCTTTTCAGCTTTTATATTGTTTTATTTTTAAATATGTTTTTGAGGGTTAGGTCGCTTCTCAAAGTTATTATAGATATAAGATCTTAACGCTTTTAGTAAAGCGAAAATTCTTGGAAGTTGGGACTTTCAAGGGGTTCAGCCGCCACCACAACCGTCTTTTTTTTCTATAGATTTTCTCTAGATTTTCTAATCAACATCACAAGACAATAAAATGTTAAAATAAATTATTATGTCAAACTTTGGTATAGAAGAGTATAATATAATAATTTAATGTATAAAACGTTAGGTAGTTAGTTATATTAGTATATCCAATTTCAATAACATAGAGAAACTAGTTATGCTGATATTTTGCCAAGTTTGATTAGCATACTCCTTTGGTTTTCATTTATGTGAACTTATTTGATAGCTTAAGATAAAAGAAAAGATTTTTAAAATTTTTGTAAATATGCCATAAAATTTGTTTGAGTATAAATCTTTTGATACTTATGATGTAAAATATTGGCATACCACTTGTGTGAATGTGAAAGCTTTTCATTCTTCAAGATAAAATTGCAATCCTAAAATTAAGAGTTTTCCTGTTAGGAAAGGGTTCATCCGTTTTGAAATTGACTAAAAATTAAAAAATAGATTCACATAAATTAAAATAAATAGTGTAATATTTATACCAGTTCAAATTACTTGACAGAGCAATTTATCTACAGGAAAACATGTTAACAAGAGCTGAAAGAGAAAATCAACTTTATTGAGAGCATGGAGTAAAATGTAATGTGCAGGGATTGGAATTGCAATGGTAATCTTACTCGCGTAAACATTTTAAGGGACAAGATAAAAACTATCCACACAACTGCAAGTTCCAAACAATTTTACGCATATGATAGGTGGTGTAACACTCCAACTTTATATATAGTGATTCCGAGGACCTTACTTCTCGGTTATCTTTCGTTATATTAAAAACAACGGAAAAGGGTCAAAATTGCCCCTAAACAATTGGAGTTGGTACAATAATACCCTCCGTCCACCTATTTTGCAAAAATTACCCTCACCGTTATCTTTTCGGCTCTAGACTGCCCTTTCGACTAACAGCCATATTAGGTAAAAAAAAAAAACTTAATTAATTTCCACGTGTCATCGTCCCATTAGCCTAACTTAAAACTCACCTAAATTAAATAAACTCACCCACATTCTAAGACCCATAAACAAAATTACTTTTTCCTAGTCTATCCTTCTTCCTCTCCCTCTTCCGTTTCTTTCTCCTCTTTCTTTTCAAAAATATTCGAACATCTAGAACTCTCATACACCCATGTTTTTCCTAACCAAACAAAATTTTCTCTTATAGTTAATCACCTTCCTCTTCCTATTTCTTTCTCTATAAATGTACACATCAATACTCCTATTTTTTTCCACCACACCATTCATCATCAATTTTTCTTACTACACTTCGCTGCTTCATAAAATAATGTCAATCAAGTGTTTATTACAGTCACATTCTCTAATAAGTCGTATTCTCTCATATTCTCAGGCATATGATTTCAAATATTCCTCTTGATTTTACCGTCTCTTTTTTAAAATTGGCGGTGTTGATATAGCCTGAATAGCATCCTCGTACAATAGCTTAATTTATGAACATGATCGAATGTTCAGACTATGGTGAGCCAATATAGAAGAAAAAGGTCGAGGTCCGAGCATAGACCAAATAAAACTCTGGTATAATCGAAACTGGATGCAGAGTTGTCAGGAAATATACAACGAAAAATATTGCGAATGCTCAATGACCATTACCGTTGACACTCTGTTAGTGTTCATATATATTCGAGTGAAAGTTGTATGACGTAAAGTATTAGTGATTAGAAATTGTGGTTATTTGAAAATAAAACTTTAATGGTGTTTGTAATGATTATTCAAATAGAGTGCAAAGTCAAAAAAAGGATAAGAAGAAGAAGAATATGAACACACGCTAGAGGGGGGTGGAGGGGGGGGGGGGAGATTTTTTTGGAATGGAGGGTATTATTGTACCAATTCCAATAGTCAAGGAGTAGTTTTGACCCTTCTCCGTTATTTTAATTTATGTGAGTTTTAAGTTAGGCCAATTGGACGATGACACGTGGAAATTAATTAAGTTTTTTTTTTACCTAACATGGGTGTTAGTCGTAAGGGCAGTCTTGAGCCGAAAAGATAACGGTGAGGGTAATTTTTGCAAAATAGGTGGACGGAGGGTATTATTGTACCAACCCCAATAGTCTAGAGACAGTTTTGGTCCTTTTCCGTAAAAACAAAAAAAGGTCAATAGGGCAACTTTGATGTAGAAATTACCCAGCTTAGTTTGGATTTCATTTCTGTGCAGATATAATAGGCAGAATGGCCTAAATGGCACCTATACTTGTGCCACTTTGTCATGCCGGTCCTCCTACTTCACTTTTTATCATCCAGACACTTTAACTTGTTCAAAATCAATATTTTAAACCCCTCTGACCGTGTGTGTATCTCACTTGCTTGACGTGGATGACACATCATATTCCACGTCATTTTTTATATTTTATCTACTAAAAATATTTATTATATATTATTTTCTTAAAGAAAAAGGAAAAGACAATCAATGTCTCCATCTCATCTCTCTTCCCTAAAATAAATTCACATATTTCTTCTTCCTAGGAAATGTCTAAATTAAATGAAAATAGAACAAAATTAGTATTTGTAAGCAGCAATGGCCACTTTTAGTAAGGGATTTTCTAAAGCTTGTTGCTGACAAAAACATATGGCTGGAGTGCCGTAAAAATGGCCCAAAGAATATCCACCGCTTTTCATGGCCAAAGCACTACCGGAATTACCTCTTCCATGTTCAAAATTGCAGAAATCGCCACCCTGCCAATCATCTTGAGGTCATGAAGCCAACTCTTGAAGAACCTATGAGTGAATCACTAAGAGATGTTGAAGACCTTTCTCTTAAGTTTTCCATTGATGTGGACTTCAAAGCCAATGGGGAGCTTGATATGGCAAGAAGGCAGCAGGAACTTGTGGAGAAACTCTCCCGGAAAGCTAATTCAATTAGCAAGCCTATTGTTAGCGTACAGGGGGGAGACGAAAAGGGGGTGTTGTGTGTTTGGGGGGTGGGGGGACGGGAGTGAGGAAGAAGAAGAAGAAGCGCACAGGAGGAAGGGGGGGGGGGGACGAAGAGGGAGGAACAGAATATCCCTTTTGCTTTTTTTTTCTTATTTATTTTTTATTCTTATTTTAATTTTAATGATTTTTTTTCTTTTTATTTTAATTATTTCTGGTTCAACATATTCATATTCACACTCCTTATCCGCGTGAATTACACCCACTTTGTCCAGCTCAACCATTATTTTGCCACATGTGCTTGGTCAACGATCATAGGGGTTTAAAATATTAATTTTGAACAAGTTAAAGTGTCTGGATAAAAAAAGGTGAAGTAGGAGGACCGGCATGACAAAGTGACATAAAATGATGACCTCTGAACTGCCTCATGGTGAAGAATGGACGCAAGAGACATACGAGGATCCTGATTACATTACAGGTGATATATAAGAAGTGCTTTGTCAAGTGATTAAAGCAGCTCCCGTCTCACAGGAGTGTGCTAATATTGAAAAATGAACAAAAAGGATTCCCCTGGATCAACAATAACATAATTCTACCAAGGTATAGGACTCAACCATAAGCAAATACATATATTTTTTACACCCTCCCTCCCCAAGAACCCCTTGCGGATAGAAGAAATAGAGACATCTTTACCCGGCAGTTTGCGCAAGTAGAGATGGTTTGCCCCTTACATCATCTCTCTACACCAGCCAGTACTACTATGATTGACATCCAACAACTGTAATGTGGACACATTATAAAGGTCCTACTGCCAAATGTTAGAGTACTTTTGAAGGCTGCTGCAATCATTTGACTTGCTTTCCTGCAAGACCAGCTCTGGGATTGCCAAAAAGGAGACGAGAGGGAGAATCTCAACACTAGAGCCAATAGTCCCACATCCACTCCTACTGTTGTGATGCTATCGCCAAGAAAAATCTAACCGAAAGACCTGCCTCCACCATGACCAGCTTAAGCAGCAGCATAACTCTTACAAGACTCAAAATTAGTAGAGCTTATGGTGCAGCGATGATTGATAAAAGTCCTCAGCCAAAACAACCCTTTCCAATTTGGAAACTGAACACCATTCAAGCACCTGACCCGGCATTTACAATGAAATTTATATAAAAGAATGAGATAACTCATGCAGCTATTGTTTATTGGCAATATCATGATTCTCCTCATGTTCGGCCATAACAAAATTGTTGGAACGGTCATCTTCTTCTCTCCTCTCCATAAAAGAGATCTCGTTGTGATTGCTTCTATCTGAGCCTCCATTATTTTTCCGCTTCCTAGTCATAATTTTGGGAATGAGGCGTGTTACCTCATTGGTCTCTGTTTCTTCATCGTCATGATTGAGCCGTTCAAATCGAACAGCACTGACCTTTCTGGCATTCCCTGCTAATATCTGCACAACAATTGACGAGATCAGCTGCCAACTAAGTATCTGCCTACTATGAAATTCTTCAATCTGCTAAGTTCATGGAAAAGGACAGCAGCTTGGATTTAAGAAGGTAGTTGAAGCTTTCGGTGTCAATCCATTCATGGTAATTTAAATCAAGCATACAATGGTTCAAGTCCACAGCCATAATATTGGAATTTTTACCTAGTTTAACACGTTTTATAGACCTAATTACACAATAGACAGAACTCTTTTTTTTTAATTAATATCAAATTTTATATCATTTTTAGCATGTTTATCAGGTTCCTATGTTTAATACCAAATTATTCTAAAAAATTAGGTCCCACTAAATCAGGGATTCATTTTAATTCCTTTATCCTATTTTCAAAGTTATCTTTTGTCTCTCTCATCTCTTATTAAAGTTCTCTCTCATCTAACGAGATCCTCTCCCCTTATCGATCGTGATTCTTATAAAGGTATAATGAACTGTTTCATTGGCCTCATTGTTCTTATAAGTATAGATATGTTAAATCAAGGTATAATATTCTTGCATTGTTCTTATAATTATATACATGCTATATTCTTGCATTGTTTGTATAATTATATACATGTTATATTTCAGGTATAATATTTTCTAGGAAATGAACTTACCACATTAAATGGCTAACTAAGAAAAAGCTGAAAAGAGATAAGGAAAAGCAAATAACAATTTATTTTGAAATTTGGTCACACTCAGGGCATTGCTATAGTGGTGAGCATCGCATGATAAGTGGATTAGATGCACGTGTTTCAGTAATGCCGAAGGCAAATGCAAGTGGAGAAGGGTAGGGGGCCCAATATCCACCAAGTTTCAAACCGTTTGCCACTCTCCCTCGAAGATTTCTCGATTTTCCAGAAAAAGAACAAATAAAAAAATTTACACAAGAAGCAACTTCTTTTTTTCTGAAAGAAAAAAATAGCATAAGTTTTTCCTATTCATTTCACCAAAAGCTCAATCAGTTACTGTATAGCATTTACAGATGAGAACATATGAAATCTATTGCATTTGCCCACATATAAAGATTAGAAAGCAGCTAGTGATGTCAGGTAACAAAGCAGCCATAGTTCTTCCCAAGAAAGAAAATCACAGTTAACTATAAAAGCAGCAACGCCTTGGTTATTTTCAACTCGACCAGAAAAATGTGAGGATTTAGAAAATAAACACAACTGAAGTTCAAAAGGAGGCACATTATCAGATCCACTATGCATACCATCCCTCTGCGCATTTAATTTCCTAAAGAAAACACATTTCTGTTGATCTGTTATTGATCTAACTCTGATATCTAATCAAATTTGTACGGCTGGAAGTACACATTTGTAGTACATTTACTAGTTCCAATAAGATAACTACCGCATAGAAGAGCTCGTATGTAATGGTGTGGAATACACAAAAAAATTTGCTTTTTACAGGAAAAAAGAAAAAGCATACCTCAAGCTTAAACATTTGGTTCTTCTCAGTTTGGTCTGCTCGATCAGATTCTGTGTCATTATAATTGTTGTCCTCATCTTCATTTCCCCTTTCCAGTATAACCTTAATCCTCTCACCTGTCCTTGGGATATATCCAAATGCTTCGCAGACAAAGCCAGAGACCGTCTCATATTGATGGTCCTGGTGCCGATTAAAATAAAGATGTCAAATTAGTGGGAAAAATCTAGGATGATGAGCAATAGTCGAAGCTGTTTTCCTCTACCAAAATCATGCTAACAAGCAGACATAATAGTTATTTGCAGAACCAGAAACTTGGCAGCTACAGCTAGAAAATTAAAACTAGCAGTAAAATGTAATTATCAGGTAGAAAATTTAGCTCTTAGAAGAGTAGTATACCTCTGGCATTTTAATATTGAGATCTTCAGAGAGCTGGTCAATAGAGGTGTTTGCATCAACATCATATATTCCCTCAGCCCGCATGACGATATAGCCAGTTTTTTTCTGGATTTCCTCCTGTCACGCAACAAGAAAAGGTAATACATAAACAGATAACTTCCACTGTACTAATGAGTAATGATACTCTAGAATACAGAGATCACTTCACCTATCATAACAACACCTAAATACCATCTCTAGTACAGTATGGAGGTTACAAACCATTTGATTTCAGATATATTTATTGTTTGGACATATTTAAAAAGAGTTGCAGTAATTTCAGCTCTGAGTTGAAGAGGGCATCCGTCAGAGATATCTGAGGACCTACAAACAACTAGCAGCTCAAAGAAGTGGACAGAAGGACCCATAAGTCTTACTTTTGAATCATTTTCGTCAAAGATTTCACCAACAATTTCCTCGACCACATCTTCAAGGGTTACGATCTGTTTCATGAACGATAAAATTAAGGAAGCGTCACAACCAAGAAAAAGACAAGATGAGAAAGAATACTTACTCCAATAGTTCCTCCATATTCATTTAGAACAACAGCCATGTGTACCTTTCTGATGCGGAACTCTCTTAGAAGGTTCCACACAGACATAGAATCTGCATTGTTACAAGATTATTGTTTACCTCCTTGGGTGACTTCATGTGATGGAAAGAAAACAAGAGACCAGTGTATGCCTTTTATAAGCATAAAGCATGAAAAGTTTTAAGAATGGGAGACGTGTCATAATAATGATACTCGCTGAAAGCAGCAGCGTAAGGATCTAAATATTGCCTTCAGGAAAGTGGACAGACCTTCAGTAGCATTAATTATACTAAAAAATGTTTATATCTGTTTGATGATATAGTTATGGTAAAGTGGTAAACAGAGACATTAAGTCTCTCAAATATATGCAGCTGTACTTAAAATCCCTTTTGATATCAGCATCTTGTATCAGTATATAAATTATTGATTTTGCAGACATGGTTAATCGACAAAATAGTTAACAGGGGATCTCTCATTCAAACAGCAATCAGGAACAAATGTAAATTACCAGGAACAAAGTATGCAGGTTTATGAGCCATGTCTCCCACCACAGAACTTTCCAGCAAGTCTCCCTTCAAAACCAAACAGAATGTAATTCTGCATACTATGAGATTTATGTGTACAATTAGAAATGATACCACTACTATTCGGAAAGATGACTAGTTGAAGTTGTAGATAGTAGACCTTTTGTACATAATCTAGGAGATCCATGGCATATGCAATGCCAACAATATTATCTATACGTTGCTCAAAAACAGGCACCCTGAAAATCATAGATAAACTCTTTTAGCACCTTTTGAAGGAAATTTGTTTTCTACGCAGAAAGAAGCGATAACACGTCTAACAGACCTGGAGTACTGATGTGTCACCCAAAAACTATGGAAATCAACTAAAGTTGCACTTGCATCGATTGCAACTACATCAACAAGAGGTGTCATTACCTCTCTGACATGGGTATCTTTTATCTCCAGCACGTTTTCAATCATATCCTGCAAGAGAACAGAGGTATTAATATTCACATCTGCGAAATTCTGAAAAGTTGCATTTTAAGAAAATGAGAATTAATTCAAAAAAACAAAAGGAGAGATGATAAAACTGATAGTATTGCAAAATACTAGAGGTTGAAACTAACTGATAAGTCAGTTACTCAGAGCCACCTACTTATGCATGGAAATCAACAAGTTCAAGGATATCCCAACAAATATATTCAAGCATCCTCTACTTAGTCCTCCACGAAACACACCTTGTATGCATTTAACAAGCTGCATTAGTTATGAACCATGACTAAATAAGGATGTTTGGGAATTACAAGGGTGGAACTTCATTTTAGTAAACTTCTAAATGACTAGGAAGTAGAGGGAGTTGCCGAATTTTATAAACACCTGGAACTGTTTCAAGACACTACTGGTTCTGATGATGCTTTGACATGGAAAGGGAACTGCAAAAGGATCTTCACTGTCAGTTCAGCTTACTCTGTATTTTTAGAAAATGAGAATCAGGATAGCAACTGGCCTTGGAAGTTGGATCGTGGTATTACCTTTGCTATAGTCAAGTAGAATCCAATAGCCCACTTATTTTTGCACTGTGGTGTCACTGGTCTGCTACGGCAACTTTTCCTGAACATGGTTGGACTCGAACGGGTTATGCCTAGTTCTAACAACTGATCAGTTGAGGTGCTGGAGTAATGTTGGGGGATGCGTGAGACCAAGAGAAATGGTGGACGATAATCCAAACTTGTATATGGTGGACCTTATGGAAAGAAAGGAATGCCATGTGTTTTGAAGGAAGAGGCAGCTCAATTCAGAAAGATCAAGATGAACTGCTTACTGTTATTTCATTTTTGGTGTAAAGAAAGCTATGTATATGATTCTGACTCTTTACTAGATTATATCCTTGTAAGATGAACAAGGATATATATAGCTTTCTTTCTGAATTGAGCTGTGTCAAGTTGAAGTGTCTAATCACTGGGTAAGGTTAAAGTGTCAAACTGAAGTGTCTAATCACTGGGTAAGGTTAAAGTGTCAAACTGAAAGTTGGGGCCAAGTTTGAGTGTCTGTCTATGTATTTTACCTTCCATATAATATAAGCTACAATTTTTCACATAGCTTAGTAACTCTTTCATCATTGTTCATTCAGATACTTCCTTAAATTTAAAGCAGTAGAATAAAATGATACACCTATTAGTTGATCCATTGACTTCCAAAATATGTAACCATCAATCTCCGGTATTAACATGCAAGATAAACACAAGATACAAAGAGCGTGCGAAAATGAAGCTCGTCCAAATAGAGATGATAATGCACCTAAAGATGCTGCATTTAGTACAGGGGACACATACTTGAGGGCTACACTCATGGATAACTAATTCAATGTGAACTAGACAACCTTATTATGAGTGGAATACTCAATGTGCTTCTCTGGTTCATCTTTGGTAATAGTCGAGTAGCCACGTATAAACAACAGAAACCCAGAAAACACATTAACTCACCTGCTCTTCCTCCTCAATTGCGCCGCTTAACTCTGCCCCTCTCAGCATCAACTTCAATTCATCTTCAGTGACGTATGGTTCACTAGAATACCAAAATAGTTACAAAAAGATTTCACACAACTTGAAGTCACAAACTCATACAAAAATAGACATGCATTCTAACATGCACAAGTATGTGCAGCAACCAGAGAACCAATGATTTACAGTATAAGCACAAGACTAAGCTACATGCTCTCTATCAAAGTGAAAAGAATGCCGGTGGAGAGAAATTTAACAGAGGCATTTCTCACTATTATCTTGAATTCAGCATACTTCTCAAGATCTTTCTTTTTGTATGACGATGTACTTCTCCAGATCTTTTTGGTTAATTATATAGACCATGGGTCTAACTCAATTCCAAAAACTAGTTCATGAGATAAGGATTGCACAAAACCATAAAAAGTGACTATAGCATGTACCCCCAATATGAGACTCCAACACCTCGCATGTCCAGGGCTGGAAATCTAGAACGTGGACAACACTACACGGATCATTGGGAAAACTTTTTAATATGGAGCGATTTAGCTAGATACCATGTTAAGACAATGAATTTTGGGTCTAACTCAACTCCAAAAGATAATTTATGAGTTGAGAATTGCCCAAGACCATATCAAGAGACTACCTCCCACAAGTACAGGTATTGGGTAACTCTCGCAGCCAAAGTTTAGGTAGATTTGCAAAACGATTTGAACCCAGGTCTCCAAGGTTTTTACCCACTTCATTTACCGTGACACCACACCCTTGGGTGCAATGTGAGATTCTAACACTTCCCATCTATTTTATCCTAAACAGACTTTTCTACAAGTTATCATGGACAAAAGACTAAGAATCTATTAAAAATAACATGCATTAAGAACCTAATGCTTTTGCACCCAAGGGTGTGACCTAGTGGTTAATGAAGTGGGTTAGAACCATGAGGTCTCAGGTTCAATTCCCAGCGAAGACAAAAAACACTAGGTGATCTTCCCATCTGTCTAAGACTTGGAGGATAGAGTTACCTAGTACCTCTTGCTGGGGGAGGTAGCAGGTACCCCATGGAACTAGTCGAGATGCGCGCAAGCTGACTCGGACATTACGGTTATCACAAAAAAAAAACTAATGCTTTCCATGTATCTCTTTATAATAATGTATTAATCCAATACAAAACAGCATATAGTCACTCGCTACGATTGAGAACAAGCATGCATGATAAAGATAATCTTTACTAAATAATATGTGCATGTGAACTTGCCATGTTCATCTCATCGGCTCATCCTTCTCCAAAAAAAAAAAAGAGCGTGTTCATTCTCAAATAAAATAATAAATAAGAGCATGTTCTGTAAATACAGGTCACAAATGGTAACAAAAGATGAACAATCTGTGAGGCGGAGCTCGTGATAACAGCATGACTTGATTTACAGTCACCATACCTTCTTCCTTTCAAGCCGAGGAGTTTTAGCATTCCCATTGATAGATATGTCACAACTCTTCCAACTGGATATAGTATCAAGGAAAGCCATGCCACTGGCCTAACCTAGAAGCAGTTCAAATCAGATTCCATCCAAGATTTTCGAGGCATTATCAGTATAATATCTGAATCCATTAATCACTTTTTCCAACCAAGACATCAACTTACCACAAACCTAGCAACCTCCGTAGCATTGTGAACAGCTATGCTTTTTGGAGTAATTTCCGTTAGGAGTAGGATTAAAACCTTGCAGCATAGACAGAAAAAGGTAGTAGTTTAGCAACACTAGCAGAATATTGTATTGGCATCTGCAATGAGTAAAAGTTTACAAGCAGCAAAAGCGGTCTTCATTCACTTTTCTATATTTTCAAACAAAGGGAAAAAGGACTGAGGCATCCTCAGCAATAGAGGTTTTTCAAAGGAGCAACTCATTTCCGTTAGTTAAGTCAGCGGACAAAATCACACTCTTCGAATTAGGCTTTGCCTCTGTCCTCCAAACTATTTTTAAGCATACGCTTTTGGCCTAAGCAAATAAGGAAAATATATGTCTAAGGAAAAGGCCAATATCAAGAACAAAGTAGACGGAACATGACATACCGTCATAACTCCAGTTGCCGCACTCACACCAGCTTCACCAAATACTGCAGTTGCAGCCTCAGTAACTAATGCTGTAGCTCCAATATTGACAACACTGAGCACACATATGAAATCTAAAATAAGAAATAATCTTCATTTTCAAGTCGAGGAACACAGTATAAGTCATGATTACAACATCAAATGAACAGTACGTTGTTCCAATGAGTATAGTTGTAAGGAATCGAGTAACATCACTCCTCAACATTTTGAAGACTCCCTCACTGTCAGATTCTTTTTCAGCCAACTCCCGTACCTAACATTTACAAGCAGAAACAATTAATTGCATTAATTGGCGAGTAAACTGATGTGCAAATGATGAACGAGAGTTTCTTTCTTTTTAATGCTAGAGAAGAAAGAAAAAGCAGCAGGATAGTAGCCTGGAGAAGCAAAAGGAAGCTTCACGCTGAATTCATTAGCAAAAGTTGATTCACATATAAGTAAAAAGAACTTTGGTAAGGAATAAAATGATAGGGTCCATGCCAAATTCGATTTTGTGAAATACAACACAACAATGGACACATTCTAATATTACAGATTTGTAACTATCTCGAGCTAAAAGTTTTACCTTTCTCAGCACCTTGAATCTTACAAAGAACAAGGTGAGGAAAACTAAATTTTCCTCAAGACTTTGTCTATAAAAGTACGGCCATGTTAGAGTACGTAAAAGACGATGCAATAGAGAATGATAATTTTATTTTGTTTTTTCTATCATATGTGAGGAAGATACCAAACAAAGTTAGAAGCAAGTTCTAAAGCACGGTTGTAAGACGAACAATATAATGTAAGTGTGGATGTATGGCATCCAAGGCTACCATATCCACAAGATGAATTTCGTACAAGATTAGACAATGTTAGGAATGATATCTGCTAGAGACATTGATAACCTTAGTCTTACCATTAAGCTTCTTTTTTAAATCGGTAAAAGTAATTTAATTCAGCAAATGTGCACTAAGAAGGTGCACAAAACATGCACAAAGCGAAAACTCAGTTCACCCACAAGCCTTATAAACACTAAAATTTGCTTTAAAACGGCAACTTAAGCACCATGATCTCTCAGCTATAGTGAAGTCCATTATACTTCCAACACTCCAATTTATACGGTCCACAAATTTAGGACGTCCTAAAATACTTAACACTATTTCTAGAGCTTTTGAAAACAAAAAGAACAATGTAGTTAATCCTAAGGACAAAAGGTTACTTTTGCTTAGTTTTTATTGCAACAGGACTACGGCAGATGATTTAGAATCGAATGTCTTAGTTTGACTTTATCAGTTCTTCAAATTCACCGTAAAGTTCTTTTTTATGTACCCTTTCCTAGCATTCCCTTAGTGTTGGATTGCATCAATAAAGTGCTTCATTACCTTTTAAAAAAACCTTCAACCCTCCACCTACTGGCGGCTTGAGTCACCAAGGGAAAGTGGAAAAAAGGTCACAAATGACTCCTGGGCGAAGGGGGTGGTTTGGGGGAGTGGGGTTTACAATATTAAAAAATGCTAAACCATTATAAATACTATTCTGTGGGTTTTAAATACTGCAAATAAAAATATTTAATTACTTATTACTTCCTCCGTTGCATTTTATATTATGGTGTTTGGCTGAAATACCTTTGTCACATACCAAAAGTACCATTAAAAATTGTGGTCCTTTTTTAGGGATAAGCGAAAGGTTAACCATTAGAACTTGTGGTCTTGAACATGACATTAAGGGTCAAATAGGAGGTTTAAGAGCTTCCAAATATAGAAAGGTATAGTTCTTTTGGAACAGAATAAAAAAAGGAGAATGACAAATGAATTGGAACAAAGAGAGTAATTTTTTACTCCATACATTAATAAAATTATTTTACTTTATCGAAAATTGCAGTTTTTTATATTAACTGTGTTTTTACTTATTTTCGTTCCTTCTTTTCTTTTTCTTTTTTTTAGGGGGGGGGGGGGGGGTTGTTAAAAGTTTGGTGAGAATTAAACCTACATAATTCAGTGTATGACCTTTTAGAAGTTGCTTGAAATGTGCAACTCATTACAAGCTTCTAATTGGCTCACTGGTCAAATTATACATACTGATCACTAAGCCGTAAGGTCCAGTCGTACCAGAAATCAGAATACATAAAACAAAAGTAGGAGACCTGAAGATTTGGCAATAGTAAAGTCCATCTCAAAACTAATCAACTCGCTAATTTTACTCTTTTATGCACTTATAATCTCAAAAATCAAACAACAGCAAATGCGAGCATAACCCCTCTTGATCATTTTCTAAATAATTTCTTTTCATATTACATTTGGCCCACCTTATCCACAATCCTTCACACTAATTCACATTTTTAGCAACTAGTGACAAAGTGTTATTTTAATTTTTAAGGAAAATTTTCTTGGCATGCTATTCTAATGTGCACAACGTCCAAGCCTTCTTTCATACGTCAAGACTGGCATTTCTTACTTTTTTTAATCAGTCAAAAGTTTCGTTAACAATGCACCAAGAAGGTGCCTTGTATTTCTAGACTGTTTTAGTATATTTTCTCAAATTTTGTTATTCATCCGCACTAGCTCTCTCTATTCTTTTTAAACTAGTCTGCTTCATTGCGACCACAGCACCATATAAACTTATACAGCTAAAGGACTCGCACTAAATTGATGAAATAAAACTACTGAGAAGTAGAGAAGCATCAGCATTTACTCATTACACAGAGAATTCAGCATACATGTTTAATACAAAAGCTTTATATTACTTTTCTTTATTTCCAAATGGGGTTTCTATGATGATGGCATGAGTTGAGCTTAAATAGAGAATTGAAGATACATATAGCTGACCCCAACTTGTTTGGGACTGAAGTAGTAGTTGTTTTTATCCAAAAGGGATTTGAACCTATGACCTAAAGCAACTTTTGAACCCCTTTACGACTATGTTCAAACTTTTCTTCATTTAAGGGGATTCAACAGCTTATATATAACCAAAAAAATCATTTTTTACCTTATTTGTACAGTATAATTATTCGATAAAAGGGATTCAGTTCAACCCCCTTCTCTCTACTTAGTTCCGCCACTGACTGAGATAGGAGAGAAGCATCAGCATTTACTCATTACGCTTGCGAATGCAGCATAGGAGGATAAACTCAAAAGCTTTATATTACTTTTCGCTTGATATTAAGGTAGGGGTAAGGCCTGCGTACACGCTACTCTCCCCAGACCCCATTTGTGGGATTTCACTGGGTTATTGTTGTTGTTGTATTAGCAGAAAACTAAGCATGTAAATGCACCAAGGAACATATTTACAATTAAGACAATGCATATAACGAGGAAGCAAGAGAAGGTACCTTCCAAGGCCAAAGAGTAGTGATTGAGGTCTCAGCCATTGAGAAAAAAGCTGAAAGACTAAGCAGCGCCGCAAGAACCAACCCTTGCTCTTTAAAAACCCTGAGAAGCTGCAAAACTGTAGGCCAAGAACTCCTCAACAGAACCAAACTCTGCTCTATAACCCCATTATATCCCCCATTTAAAACCCCTTCAACAGCAAGAACTCGTCTGCACCCAATTACAACAACCCCACATAGCACAGCAGCCAAAACCAATCCTTTTTTGAGCAACAACTCTAAAAACTGTATTCTTAAACATGACCCAGATGAATCTTGGGCATTCTGAAAAACCCCATTTCCTTTAACTGACAGACAAATCCTAGAATTATAATTACACCTGGAATTTTGAAAATTTGAGGGAACCCCACAAGAGTAACGGAGGTTGTTATGGGCGGAGAGTTTAATGGATAATTTTAATTGACGAGTATAAATTCTTGGATATGAACGTTTTTTGTAAGTGGTGGTGATGAATGAGGATGGATTAAAGAGTGAGACTTGGTGGACTGCTGCATCCATGGAATTTTGTAACAAGAACTTGCGGAGAATTCAAATACTAAAAGAAAGCAAGAGGAATTGTGGGTATTTGGAGAACTGGGCTTTGTTTTTCGAGTTTCAAGAGATGAAGAAATTGGGGAGAGCTCATCGCGTTCTTGGGTCACGAGAGCTCACCTGCTTCCAACTTTTTTGTTTCTTTAAGCTAAGCTCATCGAATCAACAAGCATACTACGCTAACTGAGCAACTTGCAGGTCTGAAATGACGGATTTGACCATCGTACTGCCCGTTATCTCTCCCCATACCCTAGGGTCTGCGAATTTTCCATTTTATGTTTTGGTTGAATTTCAAAGCTTGACTAATCATAGTTCACACTCCCTATTAAAATTAGAGTCGTGTAATTAAAAATGAAGGGATGTTATGATATACTAGTATTAGAACCCGCGCGTTGCGCGGTCAATATTAGAAATATTAATTATTTTAATTGTAATTTGTCTTTATAGTATATTATATCATGTTGCTAATAAAATTTCAATTGGCATCTTACTTCTCAATACAATATTTCATTAACTAAACTATATGAAATTAAAGAAAAATGAATTATATAGTCATCGTATAATATTTTTATTTTTTTTATTATAATTTTTATTATTTAATATTATTACATTATTAATATGACTATTTATTAGCGTCTCACTTGGCTTAATATCATTTTCAACATTACTTCTCAAAAAATATTTTAAATTTTATTTTATTGTTCACAATTCTTCAATTTTTTAAATTTATCAATAATATGTGTATTATTTACTTAATTTATTTTATTTTTATAAATTAATATAATGTTGAAATATTCTCATATTATCTCTATTTTCACCTTTGTACATTTTTTCTACTATAATATTATAATTACTTTTTTCATTTTAAATTATACATATAATCGTAATACTATCATATATGAATAAAATTGTAATTTTGAGTTTTTAAAAATATAAAAAGAAAAGTAATTAATACTATTTTATCATATATTTATTGATATTTTAACAATTGCTATTTTGTATTATTTTCCGTAAGCAAATGAACTTTTGTTTATCTCAACTCAAATATTTCTATCTATAAATTCGAAATCAAATTATTTTCTTTATCAAGAAAATATTTGGCAGTTTTTTATAGATATTATCTACCATATTAGGAAGCAACTGCTCCTAAATTTGAATTGATAGTTTTTTTATTTTCTTCTTTTTATTTTTTATTTTAAAATAATTTCAAAAATCTAAATTTTTAAAACTCAAAGAAAGTAACTAATTATTAACAATACATAATGCATAATTTAAATTTTTAAAAATTTAAATTAAAAAAAACTAATTATTACCTAACCTAACTAACTTTGCCCTAAATTACCATGTGGCCTATTGTGAAGTTGTTTAGATAAATTCGAAATACTATCACATTTAAATCAAATTGTAATTTTGATTTTTTTGAAATATAAAAAAATAAATAATTTTACTATTTTGTCTTAAATTTACTGTTATTTTTAATACTTGCTATTTGTGTATTATTTTCAATCAGCAAATGAACTTTTCTTTTATCTCAACTCAAATATTTTTATCTATAAATTCGCAATCAAATTATTTTCTTTATTAAAATAATATTTGGCGGTTTTGTATAGACATAAACTACTATATTTATAGAAACAAAAAGCTACCATATCTTTAGATATAGATATAAATACATAGATTAGTTTATCTAAGATCTATTTCATTCAACTATTTGCATTAATTATGTTTCCATTTGTAATTCAAATTTTTAATGTTGTCTTAAAATTGCCAAGTGGCTTCATTTTAACTTGTCACTTGGCTTAACCACATGCTTCACTACTCTCCTTTTAATATAATATAGATTATATTTTGTAGTGGATGTCTATAACTCTTATAGCTCGTTTGGTCAAGCTGCAAAAATCAGCTTATTTTGAGAAGTGCTTTTTTTCAAAAGTGTTTTTCTCAAAAGTACTTTTGGTGAGAAGCAGTTTGTGTTTGGCTAATTAGTTTGAAAAGCACTTCTGAGCAGCAATTAGTGTTTGGCCAAGCTTTAAAAAACTGTTTCTAAGTGTATTTTTCTCAAAAGTGCTTTTGGAGAGAAGCTACTTTTTTCTGCTTCTCCAAAACTGCTTCTGCTTCTCCTCAAAAGCACTTTTTTTCCTCCAAAAGCTTGGCCAAACACCTCAATTTTTGGCCAAAAGTGCTTTTGGCGAAAAAAAAAGCATTTTTGGCCAAAAAGAAGCTTGGCCAAACAGGCTATTAAAGAAGTTACTCCCATTACTTTTCTCCATTAACCTTCCACTATTCTTCACCATTATGGTTGTAACTCCCATAGCTCTATAACGTCCTCCATGATCTTCCCCCACGATCTCAATAGTTAATACCATGTTCATAAAATCTTTTGGTATTACCTTAATGCCATCCTATAAATAGAGGGCTTGGGTATCACATTGTACACACTTGAATACATGGAAGAAATAAGAATCTCTTTTCTCTTGCTCCCTACATTCTTGTCCATTTTCTTGTTTTATATTATTACTTTGAGCTAAGTTTCGTAACACGTTATCAGCACGAGAACTCTAATTTTTGTTTTTATCATCATCTCCGAAGATAGACGATAACCTATTTCATGGGAGACTACGAAAAGCCAGCAACCTAGAATCAATTTGGTTGAGCCAATGACACCCTTTTGCATTTCGTATGCCATATCAATCAGTTTGCTTCTATATTGTCCAGGGAGTATCATTTTTAAGTATTCTATGAATTTGAAATTTGAATTATGTATTACTAATACAGAAGAAGAAGGAAACTGAAAATAGTAGTTACAATTATTTTCTGCCAGTATGAGCCACCACTACCAAGAACCAAAAATGAATCTATTCCTTTCCATTGAGCAGGCACTAAGAGAATCGAGCTTTAACACTCGAGTTTCATTATTTTGTGTAATAATGTATACCAGGAAAACATGTCGGAGTATTAAGAAAATAAGGTACATGTTTATATACTTACACTATTTATTCGTACACAAGCATTTTGGCATGCATGAGTTCATATTTGTTGAAGCTGATATGTGGTTGACCATCATGCACCATTCTGACTTTTGAAAAGGTAATGTGAGGTAAGCTTCTCTCTAGTAATCTTAATAGCACAACTAGTATATGTTATGATAAACAAATATACTATCTAAATGGAAAAGCATTTTGAATTTGTATTGGCTGATCAAAACTTTAAATTCTCGTATATTGGAAAATTGAGTGAGTTTGTATCACTACAAACTAATTTTTCATTATTTGAATATGGTAATCTTAGTATATTCTATTGCATTACAAATTCTAATGTTTAGTTTCTTGTGACTGAGATTACATTGCTACTCATATTTTATAACCGATGTGGGAGGCAACAAGAAGGTAGAGTCATTCCAGTATTAACTTTTTTTAATGTTAAAAATATTGTCAATTATTTTTTTCTATTAAAGGACTTTGCAGAATGAGATAATTTAGAATATTACACGGCAGGTAAGTTATGAGAGATAAATGATTTTTGATTTTTATAATATTTTTAAAACTTCAGTTATGCATCAACGATATGACCACCAAAAGCAAGAATAGTAATATTTTATGTCTTATTGAAACTTAATTTACAATGACATGGTATATTTTTAAATGCTCGGGGGTGAATACCAGTAAAATTTTAACTGAGGGTAAGACGGTGGGTTCAAGTCCCAACGAACCACAAGAGTAAGACATCGGGTTTGAGTCTTGGTGCAATATGATGATAAAAATTGGGTTCGAGTCCCAACGTATTATAGCCTTACATGCCTTTATATGGGTAAGGCATTGGTTTTGAGTCCCGATGCACCATATTGATGATCTAATGATGACTAATAAAAATAATTTTTCATGACTGCATGAATGTACGAGGGCGTGACAAGCGACAAAATAATAATTGTCACCACTATGGTAACTATAAAAGGAGAACAATAAGGGTTCTCGAAATAATCCTTCAAAAGGTGAAGGAAATATTACCATCAAATTGGTATGTAAAATTTATAAAGCACATCGTGATAATTATACTCCATTCTTTGAAGGGAATGTGACTTGTGATAAGCATTGAGAATGCAGATTCATTCCTGAAGGTGAATGTAACAATATGTGATAAAAGTAATGAATAAAGACGTGCAATACATGATTGGATACGCATTACAACTCACCTCTAAGGGAGGTTTGAGAGAAAGAAAGATAACGAATATTACTGTGTGGTTACATGAATATGTCATTGGTCGCGTACATGTGGTACGCCAAAAAAATTTTGACATGCCTTATAAAAAATTATTAAAGGCAAAAGTAAAGCAAGAAACGACTCTTGCCTATAATGATTTTGGTCGTGACAATGATAAGATAATTTTCTCTGTGGAGGAAAAATACACCACTTGAATGGTGTTATAAAAGATCTTGTAGTACAAAATTATTGAGAGCTCCAGAAGACCGAATTTGTTACTACCCGAATAAATAAAATTATTCATGGCATTGGTGGTAGTAAGTCTCAAAAGAAACTCTTTGAGTTTCAAATGTATTAGCCAAAGTGGTTGGCATATTGAGTCTATAAATGAAAGGAAGATCGATTATCTTCATATTACTATAACATACCGGGTAAATATGAAAGGTTACCCGATTTTTCTTCTATTTGTACTACAGATGTATCATGATGAGGGAATCACATGCCAAGTAAACTAGAGGTTTAGTGAAACAAATATTAGTTGGCACGACCGGTTGGCCATCCCGGTTCAATTATGATGCGAAAAATGATTGAGAATTCACATTGGTATATATTGAAGAATAAGGAAATTCTTCGAGAATTCTCATGTATGACTTGTTCTCATGATAAATTGATTACTATGCCAGCCGGGGTTGGGATTGTATTCCTAGATTTTTGGAACGTATAAAAGGTGATATATATATATATATATATATGGGCCTAGTCATCTGTCATGGATTGTTGTGGCCAAACGCACACGCAAGTATACGCGGTCGTCAAGTAATAAAGTGACTAAAAGTCGGATGTCGAACCCACGAGAACTTGTGATTAACTACTCACTAAATTAGACTGTCCTAATTATCTAAACAAGAATTAAACCTATAAATATTCGATTATAAACTAATCAAAATAAAGGAAAATAAATGGC